TAATGCCCGATTTCTTCACACCTCCGAATAGCTACCTTCCAGATAAAGATATCTGTCAGATAACTAAAAATTCATTTTCATCACTGAAACCTCTGGTTACATATCTAACAGATAGCTATTCTTAATACTACCAACTATCGACACAAAAGGAACTAGAATTTTACTATAAGCAGAGAGACTGTCTGCTATAAGTTATCGTATTCTGTCAGCGAAGTGAGGTTAGTGCGAGAGTATTGTGTCGATTGTGCGAGAGAAAAAATTTTTTTTTGAGATTATAATTATATATATAATGGAGAAGGAAAAAAGAGGAGTAAATTTCACAAAAACTGAGATCGATTTATTAATAGACATTACATTACAATATAAACATATTGTCGAAAATAAAAAAACTGACGCAACAACGTGGAAAGATAAAAACGAAGCTTGGGAAAAAATTTGCAATGAATTTAATGCTGCTTCGGGAAATTTTCCTCGCACGACGAAAACGATTCGTTCTAAATATGATACAATAAAAAAAAATATTCGCAAAAAATGCTCGTTGCTCAAAAGTGAGCAAACGAAAACCGGTGGTGGTCAGTGTGCCGTGACTTTGACTCCTTGCGAAGAAAAAATATTATCATTAACACCAAACACCATGGTGGGCCTTAAATCCAGATTTGATAATGACTCGCAATATGTATAATTAATCGCCACTGTATAATCGTACATAAATAAAATAAGAACTATATCACATGATCAGTAATTTTTTTTCAGAACAGGTTCAAGTGATTTAAGACAGTGGACGACACAACAAGATGTAGAAAAAGATGGTTCATAATTTGTAATACTAATAAACGTTTAATTGTAAGTGATTAGATTTTTCATATTATATTTTCTTTTAGAAACAAGACCTTGTATTATGGAAGACGATATCGACTTTGTAGACGTCGAGGATTATAGTTAGTATTGTAAACTACAATAACATTAACGCGTACATATATTATACCACTAGTTTGGAAAACAACATAAATTTTACTTTAATCATTTTATACAGATCTGTTTTTGAAAACAACAGAAAATATGGAAAATGTGGAACCCAAAGCAGCATTAATAAGTCCAGGTAAAGATTTTGTTTTAATTTTCCATTATTTCAGTATTAAAAAAAGTATTAAACGTATTGTGTTTTTATGAAACCAGCGAATACCAAAAATACTCAGAAGAAAAGGAAAATAGATACTGTGGATTCTGTTAACCAAAATAAAACACACGGAGGTATGTAGGTAAAATGAAGGTAAAATATCATGAAATATGAAAAGAAATAATTTTAAACTATTATATAATCAATTGTAGGAACTGATGCTAAGTTTATTTTTAAAAACAAACGAGCCAAACCATCTGAAAATTCTCAGACTATGCAAGAGAACTTGCAGTTGAAAAACGAAACTTTGGCATTACAAAAAAATTTATTATTACAAGAAATAGAGGCTAAATCAGAAATCACTAAACTGACAATCCAAAATTTAAAGTTAGATACGGAGATTAAGAGACTAACATTACAGAAACTCGAGACGAATGTTATTGATGATGAATACTAAGTATGTTTCCGTGATAATTCGTACAATATACAATGTGTAGTATACAATTCATAGAGAGTATAGTAGATTTGTTCAACTGATATTCTTTATTTACAGTAACTGTAAATTTACAGGCATATTAATAATAGACCTCATGTTGCAGCACCCGGAGTAACCGTTCTAATAGGCAGGTTCTAGTTCCGTAATCTACAAAAAGTATATGTAATATGTTTTTATATAATACCAAAGAAGTTATGTGATATTACATTATACAAATTAGATATAAAGAAGTTATAGGATATTACACATAAAGATCAGATATAAGAAAGTTGTAAAATATGTTTACTTTGAAATGTGAATATTTTATATTTTTGTTAAATTCGCGCGCGCGTAGTATAAATAATTTATACTTTCATTAAATTTACCTTGAAAAATACTCATCGATAAGTGCTTGTCTGACATTATTGTCTCCTACTTGAATTCCCAATTGATTCTCATTATTATCTCCAATTTCCTCGTTAGGCAAATCGCAACACGCAGGAGGTTCTTTTTCATTGTGATTTCTGGCTATGTTGTGTAGAACTGCTGTAGCTACGATGATGTCTTGCACAGTCTCCATTTTAACTCTCATACCTAAACTTAAAACTGGAAATCGACGCTTCCATACTCCAAATACCCGTTCAACAATGTTCCTCGTTCGTATGTGAGCATTGTTGTACAGATTTTCGGCTGCAGTAGTTGGATGTAAAAGAGGAGTGAGAAGATATTTCTTCACTGGATATCCACCATCACCAAGTAATATTCCGGAATTAAACGTGCCTTCCTCCAATTTTCGGTGCAATCGACTGTGTTGGAAGATTGTTGCATCATGAACAGAGCCCGGCCACCTAGCCACAATGTCTATAATTCTCATTTTATGATCACAAACAACTTGGGTATTAAGAGAAAAATATCCTTTTCGATTTCTAAACTCTTCTGCGTGTTCACCTCCTAAAAATATTTATTATAAATATCGTTACTTATAAAATGAGTAAATAAGAATTCTAAATCTTTTGCAAAGTTAATACAACTACAGTATGTATATATTATTTTCAGTTTAAATGTCTATATACTTATTGTTATAGTTCATAGTTTTAACTTACCAGGAGATTGTATTCTAATATGTGTTCCATTGATACATCCAATTACCCTTGGGAATTTGTACATCTCATAAAATGCCCGTTGCATTGTACGAATTTCCTCATTAGATTCAGGCATATTAATCCTTGTTGCTGATAATGAAGCAATGGTCATGGATACTTTTGCGATGACTCGGGAAGCAGTACTAATGCTTACTCCACTAAAATCACCACAAGCACGCAGAAAATTACCCGTTGCATAAAATCTCAATGTTAACAACAACTGATTAATCGGTGTCAATGATCTTGATCTAGAATTACATAAAAAATTCTCAATAAACAACTACTCGTTAAATAATATCAGTAGTATATGGGAGGACTATGGGGCGCCAGACGTGACGTCACAGAGTGGCGCCAGGGGCGTGGCCGGGGGCGTGGTCAGGGGGAGGGGTGGGGGAAGCTGAGCTCTGATTGGCTGCTCCCATAGCTGCCCAGCGATTTGATTGGCTGCTCCCATAGCTGCCCAGTGATTTGATTGGCTGCTCCCATAGCTGCCCAGCGGTTTTATT